TGGTAGACAACACTAGGCGGGGTGCGCACCCCCTGCACCCCTACGGTTGATCCGCCCCCTGATCCAACTCTAACTTCATTTTTAATAACCACTATATATTCTTACCGGGTATTTCCCCCTGGCGAATTGCGAAGTAACATTTTTCTAAATCATCAAAATGTTGATGAACTCGCTTCCTTCTGGCAGCCAGTGTTGCACTAGACCAGAGGTGTTTTGCACCCTAAAATTACCAATTAAATGTACATCAATTAATTCTAGCCAATGAAAACGACAAGGCAAGTTGGCCTTTTGCATAGCATCACAAATAAGTCCAAAGGACGAGCGATTTGAATATGAAACTTACATGTTGACTTCCATTAAAACCATCTTGAGGTAGTTCGTTGTTCTGCGCGGAATTGCCTAGATCTGAACTACAACCGCTAGAGCAAATATGGATACACAGTCATTCAAATATCAATTTTGAAAGGTTTTCGAAAATGATTGTCCACAAACAGTGGTGGACACTGGTTTTCGGAAACCAGTGTCTACCAATGTTTACAAAACGCACTTTGGTTGTTTACCTCGCTGTTGCTTCATCAAGATTCAGATTGGTTGGGAATGATTTGACGGTTGGTGTGGTAGGAACAGCGTGATATTGATCCTAAAAAACATTTAACAAGATGTCAGGCAAAATATCCCCCCCCCCCTCAATTTTTTAATTCTCTTAGGTTTGAGACAAGAATCTTAATTTGCCCCATTAAGCAATATACCTACAGCTGTAGAGATCGCTGCAGCGAGGATGGATCCAGGCACATCTGGTGGGGGCGGGGGGGGGGGCTGGCAAAACACACCCCTGCCCTGCCTCTGGGGAAGAGACCTAGCTGATAGTAAGGGTAAATAAAAATACGGATTTGATAATGGAATGGACCTTTCCCCTTATAACTAAAATTTCGATCTTGACAAAAATTTCATCACAGCTTGAAAGAGCATCACAAAATTAATAATATTCCAAAGTTTTGTTGCAAAAACTTGTAAAATGCGGATAATATAGCCTTGCGAAGTTGGCTGTTTTTCAGTCATTTTGTATTACAAACGGGAAATTGACATCCGATTCGGGTCTGCAATTTCCCGTTTGTAATGCAAAATGACTGAAAATTGCAAACTTCGCAAGGCTCTATTTTCCTCATTTTACAACATTTCGCAACGAAACTTTGGAATATTACTAATTTTGTGATGCTCTTTCAAGCTGTGATGAAATTTTTGCCTAGATCAAAATTTTGGTTATAAGGGGAAAGGTCTATTATTACAGCATGAATCAGTTTGAAATGAATCCGTTTGAATTATTGTCTTACAAGTCTAGACTGTTATGGTGTTGAGTATTTGAACTAAATTCTCAAAAGCGATTGCCTCAAGTATCACACAATTGGGGTTAGTGCATGGTCCTAAGACTGCAAAATTTTGGGTCGTTTTAACAATCATTTGTCTCAATCCTGATTATAATAAGAATTAATTTCTTATATCAAGAATTGTTGAGATGACAATTGCATAGTCATCTTAAATATTGCTACACTGAGTACAGCCACCCCAGACAGACAAGACACCCCCCTCCAGATTTTCCACAATATTCCTATATTTTTTAATGAACCCTGACTACATTTTTTCAGCATTTTTACTGACTTAGTATTCACTGTAAATCAACGAAAACTGAATTGATTGTGAAATAAATAACGGAAATGATAATGAAATGTCTTGCAACTTGAATGATTGTGGTTCCCGCAAATCTCGGCTTCCTAAACTTGGGTTAATAGTGCTCGGTCCATTGTTCGTTAGGCGAAATTTCGCGAGTGGTCCACGAGAGTGGTCCGTAGTCCACGAGTGTAGTCCATGGACCAGGTCCACGAAAGTAGTCCGCGGACCTGGGGTCCGCATTTTGTCGTTTCCCATAAAAACATTCGGCGTGTTGAGTGAATGATGTCACATCCTCTTCAAGAAAACGCCTTCTTGCTTAATTGGGCGTGTTTAACGGTGGCTGTAAAATTGGCAAATAGGAATCGTAAAAAAGTCAGCAAGATGAACGAATTTTGCCTTGAAATTTGGTAAGAATATCAAGCATATGTTATATTTCTGGATTATGAAAAAAAATTTAATGATAGTGCCACTTTAACTTTATATCGAAAAACGCGCACCGGCCTGGTGTACTTTAGTCAACGAAAACTGATCATTGGAAATTCAATCAATCAATATTAATGAATCGATATTAATTACTTAATTGATATTGATTGACATTGGTCAATTGATGACCAATCGATAGTCTCAAAAAGTTATGGCGAATTTTATCGATTATTGATATCCATCGATTTTCTTCGATATTTATCGATTTTCGTTGATATTTATAGATTTTTATTGACAAAATGCTTTCAATTTTTATCGATTCACATCCTAAATAGTCACCGCGTGTTGGCATGTTTAAGCTAACTACGTATCAAAACAGCTTAGGATGTAAAAGTAATACAGAATAAGACAGTTGGTATAGGCAATCAGTCCTATCACGAATGTTTATTTACCGTGAAGCTGGGAGAAGAATTTGCAGTGGAAAAGAAATGGGCAGAACGAAGTTAAAGTTGTTAATGGTTGATAAAAAATTGATAATCAATCTATGAAAGTTCACAGCAAAACAAGCCATTGATTATTCGTCGATTTCCAATATCAATCGATCAATAAATATAGATTGGAATTGATTGACATTAATACTCATCGATTACCGATTTCATCGATTATGTACGCTGGGGTATAAGACTCTATATTTTCGCAACAGCATATATGGTGTTCAACTGAGGAAATGTTGTATATAATGAAAAGAATTGATTATTTTCTCACTCTGGTAACTGTCAGTTGTCCACCATCTTGAGACCCACTGCTCCCCTCTTCTCGAGTAAAATTGAGATCCATTGGCCATTGAGACCCACTGCTCTCCTCTTCGGGAGTAAAATTGTCTGGCATTTATAAACAGAATAATAAATTAGGGTGCAATGCGACTTAATGGGTTAACGAGACACATGGACAGCTCCTGGTTACGTCTAAATAAGCGAAGCTGCGTTTGCAACTTACAGCTACTCGGGCTCGTTAGGTCTGAATAAGTGTATAAAATTTCACCAGCTAGGCTGTCCAAAATTGAGGTAACCAAACCTGGGTTACGGCTGTGTTGCTGAAAACTTTGTTTTGCGGTAACCTAATTTGGTTTCCCTAAAGTAATGCAAGTCCATAATCTCTTAATTCTATAATTACTCCGCCTGCGCATGCGCAGTGCGGAGTCTAAAAATGCCTGAGTCTGTTGTCGGCAGTCTATTGTCGATCAATAAATATAGATTGGAATTGATTGACATTAATACTCATCGTTTACCGATTTCATCGATTATGTACGCTGGGGTATAAGACTCTATATTTTCGCAACAGCATATATGGTGTTCAACTAGGAAATGTTGTATATAATGAAAAGAATTGATTATTTTCTCACTCTGGTAACTGTCAGTTGTCCACCATCTTGAGACCCACTGCTCCCCTCTTCTCGAGTAAAATTGAGATCCATTGGCCATTGAGACCCACTGCTCTCCTCTTCGGGAGTAAAATTGTCTGGCATTTATAAACAGAATAATAAATTAGGGTGCAATGCGACTTAATGGGTTAACGAGACACATGGACAGCTCCTGGTTACGTCTAAATAAGCGAAGCTGCGTTTGCAACTTACAGCTACTCGGGCTCGTTAGGTCTGAATAAGTGTATAAAATTTCACCAGCTAGGCTGTCCAAAATTGAGGTAACCAAACCTGGGTTACGGCTGTGTTGCTGAAAACTTTGTTTTGCGGTAACCTAATTTGGTTTCCCTAAAGTAATGCAAGTCCATAATCTCTTAATTCTATAATTACTCCGCCTGCGCATGCGCAGTGCGGAGTCTAAAAATGCCTGAGTCTGTTGTCGGC